ATATGAAAGAAATGTGCTTTTGCCTTTCTGAAGAAGAAAGTTTAGCCAGTTATTTCAATGTAATGCACCAGTAAAGTGTTTTCTTCCAAGATATCCAAGAGAACTATACTCACCATCTGAAGAGAAAATAAGTAATTACTTCAATTAGTTCTGCTTAATATTAATTTTCTTGTAGCAAATAGGTTAAAAAGTCTGCTCTCTTTCTTTTAACGTAGTAACATATATTTCATGTTGCAAGAGGTAAGGGCAAGAGAAACACATAAAGGGAATTCAAATAGGAAAGAAGTAAATCTAACCCTTTGTGCAGATGAAATGATCCTATATTTAAAGGGACCTATATGTTCCTCCCTCAAATTAGTAAAGGTTATGCTAACATTCAGCAATGTAGCAGGGTGTAAAACCCACAAGAATCAGTAGTTTTTCTGTGTTACCAACAATGGGAAGGTTGAGGCTGAAATCCAAAAAGCAAACTCATATTTATTATCCTCAAAATCTAATCAAATCTAAACAAAGAAACAACAATACAACTAGGAATTAATTAATTTAACTAAATATGCGAAGGAACTCTACTGTGAAAACATTAAAAATCTAAAAAAGGAAATTGAAGCAGATTAAAGGAAATGGAAAGTCTTTCAATATTGCAATTTTAAGGATGTTAATTCTTCCAAACAGGAGCATTGGAAAAATACTGCCACCAAACAATTGACATTGCAATACCCATCAAAATCCCAATAATATTCTTCAACGCAGTCTTGAAAGCAATCCAAATTTAATATGGAATTACAAAATGACAGATGAAACAGAAGGCTTAGAAATGAACTCATGGGCCTATAGGCATCATGAACACACACACACACACACACACACAATGGAATTCTATTCACTCATCAAAAAGGATGACTTTTCACCAGTCTTAAGGAAAATGAAAGGTTGGGGAAATTATACTAAGAGAAAGGAATACAGACTCAGAGAAATATAGGTTTCATTGATTCATTTAGGGTAGCAAGAAAGTGCCTACAAATCTACAAGTAAACAAGACAAATTCTACCTCGTCTAATTTAGGATGGCCATTATCAAGAAAACTAACAATAGCAAATGCTGGCATGGATGTAGTAAATTGGGAAGTCTATTACACTGTTGGTGGGAAATTAAACTTTTCAACCTCTCTGGAATGCAGTATGGAGATTCCTCAAAAGACTAAACCTAGATCTCCCTTATGACTCAGTAATACTCCTCATGGACAGTAATCCAATAAATAACAAACAAGCTCATGTTAAAGCTGCTAGCATAATCATGTTCAGAGCCCAGGCCCAGAGTTCAAGGACTGGAAAGAAAGTTACTACTGCTGGTATATGTTTCCCCAAATACGAATCTCTTGACATAAGATACCAAATCATTCTATTTGCAGTAGCTAGGATAGGACTTAAATATACTGGGTGATAAAATGCCTTCTTTGTTGAATATTAGGAAAAGATGTAGGCAGTCCAAGAAAAGGGAGATTTTTGTTGTTGTTGTTGGTCAAGGGGCTTGAAGAGTGGACTTGGGCACTGACCTTGAGCTCTTCAACTCAAGGTAAGTGCTCTTCATCTTGAGCGACAGTGTCACTTCTGGTTTTCTGGTGATTAAATGGAGATAAGAATTTCAGGGACTTTACTACCCAGGCTGGCTTTGAACAGAAGTCCTCAGATCTCAGCTTCCTGAGTAGCTACGATTACAGCTGTGAGCCACTGGCACCAGGCTAAAAATGGTTCTTTTTGTTTTTTTATAAAAGAAGAAAATCCGTCTCTTATATTGGGTTTAAACTTCAGATATCACTATTAGAACACTTCTCCCTCAACTCAGTCATCAGACATTTGTAAATTTTCTCCTTCCTACATGTGGGAATATTGCAGTCAATATTAACTGAGTTGTGAGACTGGATCAATTGTACGGTAATCTCTAGCACCTAAATCAGGAACTATTACATCATAAGAAATGAAACCCTCATTTGGAATAATGTTTTTTCTCTTTTTATTACAAATCTGTGCTCGATTGCTTCCTAATGTGATATTGGACCTCCTATCAGAGTGATGCCATTTTCTTTCTCTTCAGCAATTGGCCTTCTCCCACATGTGGTAAATTTTTAAGAATTGAAAGATTTCCTTGGATAATTCATTAAGCTGACCTCTAAGAAATTGTGCGTTTCTGAAATTTGGTCTGCTGTCTTGTACTTACATGCACAGGCTTTGTATGATTTATTTCTTCTACAAGGAATTCTATTTTCCAATCTTCGTGTGACCAATTTTAGTCTCTCTGATCAGTCTTTCTGACCCTCTCACTGGAATCTCATTTCATTCTCCCTCATAAAAATATATTAGTTATCAGCTAACTGATTCTCAGCTTCTGGTTTTTTTGGTTTTTTGTTTTTTTTTTGACTGACTTCATGTAGACTGTGATAGCAGCCCTGACTGGCTGTGCTAACTGGAGGTTTTACTGTTTGTTTGTTTGTTTTTAGATGTCTAGGATTACTATTCAAGGTAGTAGCTTCTCTGGGCCTCATTGATTTCTCTGGCCTAGAGTCAATGGTTTTATCTCCTAAAGATACAAAGAACAGCTAACTAAATTCCTGTTTTAATTGTCTCAAAATGAGGCAATTTGGCATCCTTGAAAAGCCATGAATAATCCTTGTAACCATGTACAGAAATGGTCTATCAAGATTGCTTTTCAAGATTAACTGTGAAAAATGTTCATTTCCAAGTCACCACCATAAAACAGATCACATCCTTGGGAGCTGATTTTTGGAAGGAAGGTTCACCTTCTTTCCTACTCTTATGACAGATCAAACCAAAATATTCTGCAGTTGTAGTCAGCCTGGAGCACATTTTCCCAAGAATATTCTGTAGTGTAAAAGAGGACCAACTATCAAAATAAAGGTGAAAATACTTGTCTAGTATGACTGATTTATCTTGCTTATATCTGTTGTTATTTTCATTACTTCAAACACATGGATAATTTATATTGGGATTAGACAAGTGGCAAAGGATTAATGGAATAAACATTCAGTTTACTTTCATATATCCAGTGTAATACACTTAACCCCTTATGGAAAATTAAATCTAACTCTAGAAACAATGTCAGAAATATTAAATAATCCTCAATACATGTAATCTGGCACACATACACCATCATCTACTCAGAAATTCAGTCTGTCAATAAATATTTATTTAGTACAAAATAATAAAAATTTAATTAATGAATATGACTTTTAAGTATCATCTGAAATACTCCTCACATATATAATTGTATAGCTGTCACCTAGACAGGAATTTAACATGCATGTAGAAATCAAATTTCCACAATATAAGCTAGAGAGGAGTCATATGCTCATGTATAGTATTGTGTGAATTTTACCACGGTGCTGAACCCTTCTGCCTAATACCAAGAGTCATGTGCAATAATTTATTATTTAACATTAAGAATACACTTTGAATTATTACATAATTATTACATAATTCACAGAATTGAAACAACAATGATATATTATTTGTTTAAATTCTAATGTTTCTCAATTTTACAATTCATGAAATATATTATTAAACTTATTAAACTTAGTTTCACTTTCTTCGTTGCCATAGATACTCAAATTTAAATTATATATTAAACATTAAACTTATGAAATCAATAATAAGTAACTTATTATTAAAATAATATGCTATTAATCTGTGATTTAAGTTATAGTTCTAACAAATTATGAGGTAAAAAAGATTTGATAGAAGTATGGTTAATTTTTTTAAACTTACCAGCTTGTTATTTGTTTCCTAATTGTGTCATTTGTTATTCTTGTTCCAAGTCATCTGTTCCTCTTCATTGTTTAGTGTTCTATTTTATCGGTATTGGTTTACTGATTGTGCATTTTTCCGCTCTTCTTAGTGACTGACATGAGGCTGAAAATTTGTATGCTAGTTTATTCCTCCTATGTTAAAGCAAAATTACTGCTCTCCACAGCTGTTCTACTCTTCTTTGTATAGTACAGTATTTCCCCCACTCCCATCTCTTGTGTTACTGCTCTCATGTATTTTATTTTTTTATTTAAATGTTTTTCCCACCATCCCTTCCCTCACACCTCCACAATACACTCCCCAAGCCCTCCACCCCTCACTACCCCCTGCCCTCCTAAATTGTGAAGTTTGTTTTTCAACATAGTGTCTTGTGCATCTCATTGTTACAATGGGTCAACCTGCATCTCTATCTAAGCATTTTGTTTTTTCTCTTTCCCTCCCCAAATTAGCGAAGTAGATATACAAGATGCAGGAGCACCAACATTGAATACAGTGAAAACAAGGGTTATACTATGAGGGAGGATTATATAAAAAAAAGGAAAAAAAATCACATTGTACATTATAAATACATTAGAAACAACAGTAAGAAAGAAAAAACAACTTACGTTCTTATCTTGGGGTTCATTTATCTTAATATCATCTTATCTAGTCCTATGCACATAGCTTATGATCTTTTCTGCTTATCCCAGACATATATTAATTATTGCAAATAAGGGATACCATGGGAAATATGTTCCTTGAGACTTGGCTTACTTCATTTAATATAATTTTTTCCAAGTATTTCCATTTCCTAACAAATTGGGTGATGCCATTCTTTCTGATGTAGGCATACAATTCATGTACACACACGCATGCACACACACACACACACACACACACACACAAACACACACATTTTCTGGATCCATTAATCTACTGAGGGGAATCGAGTTTGGTTCCATATCTTAGCTATGTTAAATGATGCTGCAATAAACATAGTTGTGCTGGTAGTTTTAATATGGTCTTGCGTGTGGTGATTTGGGTGAATGCACAAAAGTGGGATTGCTAGGTTATAGGAGAGCTCTATATGGACTCTTTTGAGGAACCTCCACACTAATTTCCAAAGTGATTGGACAAGTTTACAGTCCCACAAATAATGCAGTAGGGTTCCCTTCTGGCCACATCGCCTCCAGCTGTTGTTGTAAAAATGGAATGCTTCAGTAATTTGCGTTTGTAATCCTTGCACTGCTGCCATGCTAATGTTGTCTATATTGTTCCAATTTTAGTGTATGTCCTGCCAAATTGAGCACAGAACAGTTTATTTTTTTAATCTCTAAAGTGCAACTGATTTTCTTAAACTAGACAATTAAAGAAAAAGTAAGTTCAAAAGAATTGTCTTGAAATTTTAGAATCATGTATTTCTTCCATAAGCACACAATTAAGAATAAAGTCAAGATTAACCTGTCCACAACAAAATAATTCCAGATATTTGTTGTTCAAGAAATTGTAGGAGGAGGAATTCAATTATTGTATACAAGGCACCTGCCATAATGAACACTGCAGCAAGTGTAAAGATTTGTTAAAGTTTTACTGTTTAAACATTTAATTTTGAGAATTTGCTTATATATGCCAAAATGAAGTCTGGCAGGTGAAAATACTTTTCCATAAACTATTTAAGATTTATATTAGCAGACATATACTACTAAATATATACATTTCAGAGTTTATAGAAACTTTACTGAGAAGTTGCAAAGTCTTTGTCTAAAGAAGCAGAATGAAGAGTTAAGACTTTGTTAATTACACAGTTTCTGTTAAAACTTTAGGGCTTCCATACTTTTTATGTTAGTGAAGAACAAATGATGATATAAGCCATGTACAAACGATAAAATTAGCCATATATACTAATCATCGCCTACTCATCGCCTATAAAACTCTTGTTGAACATCATAAACTTAGCCAGTTTTAAATGTACAGGAATACGAGAAAATAGTAAAAATCTAATATGTAATACACTTCAAGTCCTGGAAACACTGGTAATTTTTTTTACTTTATTAATCATTAATATTTAATTATTGGTTTTCTTTATTTGTTGCATTCTTTTTCTTGTACTATAATACAACGTTTTAAGTCATCATTAAGAGGTACTTTGAGGATGTTAATGGGATTGTCACAGCATTTTTTTATAGGTGCACATGAATTTACAAAGAACAAAATTAAAACAAAATATTGATTAAAAATTTTATCAAGCGATACCACTTGATGCACAGTATCACTTCCATCTTTTTCTGCTTGTGTGGTGCTGAGTAATCAAACCCAGGGCCTCATGCATTCAAAGCAAGCACTCTACCACTACGCCACCTTCCCAGCACCTGAGATACTGTGTTTTAAAAAATCATCTAAACAACATTTGTTTTCTACTTTGGGTTATATAATGAAATATATGAATATCATTTTATATTTTTGTGAATTGTCATATTTCTAAATTTTTATTAACCAAAGCTACTTTATTCTTTTCAAAGTCATGAAATATCTCTGAGAGTTTACTTCTGTGAAGATTGTTTTAGCATTTATAATTTGTTCTGAGTCATTTTTATGTTTTATCAAAATTACTTTATATTTTATGTTGATGGGTTATCATACATCAAATACATTCAAACGTACATGTAGAATCTAAGGATAGCAGTATGAGTATTCTCATACAGCTCTTGTTTATCTGTTATGCACTTTCAGTATTATGATATTTCTCTCTCTCTTTCACTCTCATTTTCTCTCTTTCTCTTTCATGTTGCATGCCTGCTACTTAGAATTTCTGCTAGTCTACTATTATCTTTCAGGTTCCACTGGTTTTGTAGGAACATGATAGGGACCATCAGTTACCCTTGCATTCTTTAAGAGTTATAACAGTGACGTGATATTATTCTCTGTCATTCTAAATGGCAAAACAACAGATCTAGGAATTCCTTTTCTCTTTTACCACAATTATAAATTTTATCTCATAGGAAACATTGGGATGAATATGATACTTTTAACCTGTGACCTAAAAGTTCTTTTTCTTTTACAAACAACCTTTTTATTTTATTATCAGTAAGTAACTACATGTAATGAAAACAAAGCTGTCCTATGGAAAATAGACTGAAGTTGTTCACAGGGATGAGAAACAAGGTAATGGGGGAAATGAGTACAAAGTGATACACATTATATACCACAGAACCTCAGAGCAGTTTATCATGTACACTTTGTGAGAATGACAATGTGCTGGGAACTGTAGGTTAAATCACTGAACACCTGATATATGTGTGTGTGTGCATATATATATATATATATATATATATATATATATTAGTGTGTGCACATATATTTTAAATGTATAGTTATTTATATATACATATATGTGTATAAGCCCTTATATGTGTACACATGTATGTTACTATACACACAAATGCACACATACTTATACCCATGTGTACATGAACACATGGAGAGAGACACATAGTTACAGCCAACACAAGTTTCACTAGTTGTTGAATTTGCCTTAGACGGAATGCTTAGAACCAAATATGTTGAAGATATATTGGTCTCTAAGAGAAATTTTGTCCTTCGTCTTATCTCTTAAAACTGGTAGGTTTTAAGAGATAAGATTCGACTTCAAATGTTTTCTTCTTTCTTGAGATTGCTTAGAACATATTCATAAGATGATTTTTTGTTCATTTGAATGGCCCTCCCCCCTGCTTTCACTGTATTTGATGTTTGTAAAATTTCTGGAGGGAAAGGGCAAAAACAAATCTTATAAATAGGGATACAGGTGGACCCATTGCAACAATGAGATGTACAAGTCGTTGTTTCGAAAAACAAACTTTACAACTATGGTGGGGGGGAGGATTGGGTGGAAGGAGGTGGAAGGGGTATGGGAAGGGATGAGAAGTTGAAACAAAGAGGAGGCAACAATACTTGATAAGAAATGTACTCGTTATATTGCCCATGTAATTGTAACTCCTCTGTACGGTATTCTACCAATTTTTTTTTTAAAGCTCCAATCAAAGAAAAAAAAGAAAACCATACATTTTTAGAGATCATTGTCATCAGAAATATATACATATATCTAAATTTATGTGTAGAACAGTATACAATATAGTGAAACAAATATCATAAAACATAATTAAAAATTTAAAAACACATAAAAGAAGTGCCAGTGACTCACGCCTATAATTCGAGCTATTCTGGGTAATGAGATCTTAGAATTTTGTTGAAACTAGCCTAGACAGAAAAGTACTTGTTAGATTCTTTCTCCAATTAACCACTAAAAACAGGAATTAGCTCTGTGCTTCAAGTTGTAGAGTGCTGGCTTTGAGCACTAAAAGGCTTAGGGACAATGCCAACAATTACAAACACTAACAACAAAAACAACAAAATATAGCACATTAATTTCACAAAACATCTTTTAACTGCTATGAACATTTCTTAGAAGCATGAATACATGCACCTGGAAAATGTTAAGTAAAAATTATAGAATATTTGGTGCTGGGAAAGTGGCTCAGTGCTAGAGAGCTTGCCTTGCATGCATGAGGCCCTGGGTTTGATTCCTCAGCACCACATTAGCAAAAAGAAAAAAGCCCAAATTGGTGCTGTGGCTCAAGTTGTAGAGCACTAGTCTTGAGCTGAAGAGCTGAGGAACAGCGCCCAGGCCCAGAGTTCAGGCCCGACGACCGGACCCACCCCCCCCAAAAAAAAAGAAAGTATAGAATATTTACGTCTATGTTAAAGACATGAATATTTAGATTGTTTAAGATATTTAGATAATGATTAGAAATTAAGAATAATGATAATATATTGAGACTGGTCTTTTATTCTATTTTACAATAGTAAGAAATGATATTTTAATGATTATATAAAATTACTCTTGTTTGGTATTGGAATTATAATAAGTGATAACCATTTTTAACTGATTTCCATAGGAAAGGATCATGTTCTTAACAGTATCAATTCTTCTGTAATTTCACAACAATTAAGAAAATTATTCCAAGGCTGGTTTGCTCTAAGACTGTAATTTTTTTCTTGTTCTAGTTTTCATATGTTGGTAGAAATTAAAATTCCAAAAATTCAATGGATGTTGGAAATCAGGAACATCTTCATAGATACCAAATTTGGAGTCGATTGAGTGGAATTGTTTTATTTAATATTTTCACAAATAAATCAAGATGATTGTCTATTGTGTTTCTTTTCACTGCTATTGCCTCTTAACCTGAGAATACTTTTTCTTCCTAGCAAAGTAGAGAAAAGCAATTGGATTGAACAAGTAACATATGGCTTTCATAAAATGCAGATGCATAGATTTGGGTCTTCTGTCATTTGCTAAAGGTTTCTTCCAGAAAAGGTTATCAATTACTCATAAGTGATGCATAATTCCTAGATATTCCATTTATCACATACACTTTTTGATTGAGTTATCTCTGCATAAACTCAAAACGATAGACCAAAAAATAAACAGAAATATCATCTTTTTTTAAAAGCTGTAGTTTTTTTTAGCCAACTCCGAAAATATCTTTTCAGATATTCTGCAATTTGTGTAAAGTATTTTTAACAATAGTTTTTATTTTTGCTCTCATATAATTTATATGCAATGTATTATCTCCTTTTACTGTATACATTTTAGTGCTTTGGAAGTGAATTGTACAATCACAGGTTTTCCAAGCCTAATTTTCACAAACTTGCATTTCTTCAAATAGAAATGTTGTAAATTTTAGAACAGACATTAAAATAGATATAAAATTCAGTTACAGGAATTTTTGCAGAGTACATCCTCTATAGTGTGTCTTTTGAAAGTTTGTTTTGGGGGATTATTTCCAGGGTCTCACACATACTATTCAAGTGCACTGTCAATGAACTACATTCCCAGTCCAAACAAGTGATTTTACTTCTCTTTAATACATACATAGAAGTGTGATGGCTGGATCATCCAATTCTCTTTCACCTTTTGAAGACTCGAAAATTTGCTGCTTAAAATGATTGCAGTATTATACAAATCATTCTGATATGTGGAGTATATCAATTTCTCCACAAATGCATTACTATATTTTGTCATTTTTTATATGATGATCATACTAGTGAGTTTTTTATATTTGTTCTTAGATCCTAATGAGGAGCTTAATTCATATGCTCCTCCTATTTACTATTAACTTACATATGTTTTTTAAAAGCTATCCTGCAGGGAAAAACTTATATAGTGTTAGAAGGTGTAAAAGTACTTAAGACTCAGGACCATTGTAGTATTAACATTGTAGCATTGAAAAATACGTGTCCTCTATCTTTTGGA